GCAGTAATTACTTACATACAATAATGATTCCATTCAGTTTCATGATTATCTCTCCCTCTCTTTTTATTTTAATTTTAGTTTGATTTGTCTTTTTATTGTATTATTTTTTTTAAATATTTGTTCTTTGCTTGTTTTTCTGTTTTTTTGTTTTGTTTTTTTTTGTTGTTGTTTTTGTTGTTGTTTTTTTTTATTTTTTTTTTTGTTATTTTTTTTTTTGTTTGTTGTTTTTTTTTTTTTTTTTTTTTTTTTTGCTTGTTTTTTTTATTTTTTTTTTTTTTTTTTTTTTTTTATTTTTTCTTTTTTTTTTTTTTTTTTTTTTTTTTTTTTTTTTTTTTTTTTTAAATTTTTTTTTTTTTTTTTTTTTTTTTTTTTTTTTTTTTTTTTTTTTTTTTTTTTTTTTTTTTTTTTTTTTTTTTTTTTTTTTTTTTTTGTTATTTTTTTTTATGTTTGTTGTTCTTTTTTCTTTTCTTTTCTTTTCGATTGTCGAGATTACGATATGAATAAATGTGTAATTCAATAAAGAACGTCAAACAAAGTCTATTTCACCGCTAGATTTGCCGATTCGTTCACGCAGTGTCTATAGTAGCACAAAAACCGACAACATGAGAAGCCTTGTTCGGAGGAACACATCCCCCTCTCCCACCTCAACCCACTTACCGACTTCCGATAAAAGGAGGGTATCCAACCGGTGGAGTTAAACAACAATAAGTCCGAGGAGGGGGTAATCCTTATGGTAAATTGAAGCGCTCCTTAATAGGCCATTGGGATGTCCGAGTCGCCAGTGTTGTGACGTCACAGAGCGGGTTTTTCGCTGACCACTTCAAAGAATTCTCCTCACCGACTTTCCGGTTGGGTGGTCGAAAAAGGACAAATCCCCGTGGTGCCGACGACTAGGTGACTAGGTGCTGAGCGTTATGTGTGGATTTTGTTAGATGAGAATTTCGATGACAGACTCCGTCTGAGGCACCTGTCGTCGTTGAAGGATGAAGTGTTTCGCCAAGTGTTACATTCGCGGCCTTCGGTGTGTTATGGCGAGACGGGAAATCGCGTGTTAGAAGTTACGCATATAATAATGTAACACTTGAAGTACGGTACCGAGGCTACAGGCGTGTCAGCAAGAGCGGCTGGGCGGGGCAGGCATATATGTTGATGGGCAGGCATATATGTTGAAGGACAGGACACTTGCTGGGCGGGTCAGGCACATATGTTGATGGACGGGACACTGTTGCTGGGCGGGTGAGGCATGTATGTTGATGGACAGGACACTATCACTGGCGGGGGTGGAGGAGGGTGCTAAAGCTTGCGGGGCAGTGTGCTAAAGCTTGTGGGGTAATGTGTGCTAAAGCTGGTGTGAGGCAGGGTGCTGATGCTGTCAAGACAGGGCGTGGATGCTGCCTCGGACACCGCACTACAAAGATTTAACCGTTAAAATAATTTTTGATCATGAACGTATTGTCTAAGAACTGGATGTAAAGCATCTGCTTCTCTTTTTTTTTTTTAATGTATCTTTTTATATTTCATGCAAAATCTGTCACATTAGTTTATTATGACAATTTTATAGAATTAACTGTATTTTCATTTTTAAAACTTCAAATCATTATTTTCAAAATTGGCCCCGTGGTTTCAATATTTTATAAATTATTATTCACATCAATCAATTGCTACTAGCGACCTTTCGGGCCATGGTATCATTTCAGGGCCAGGGTTTCATTTCAGGGGGTGTAAGAAAAAAATGGAATGAGAGAACACTGAAAAACAGACTTTAAAGTCATGATTTAAATAGGGATTTTTTTTTTTTTTAAATGACTACGCTAATATTTTAATTTTCTGTAACAAGACATAATTTTATAAACTAATGTCTACCTTTATCTCAGTCAGTGCTGGATTAACCCTTTTGGAGGCGTGGAGCGAACAACGTAGATCCTCTGATCTCTATAAAAAGAAAAGGCTTCTCTCCAAGAAAAGTTTTGATCAATTAAAAATGCGCTACTTCATTTTAGCGCACATGTAAATTTAGTTTTGCATGATTCCACACTTAAAGGGAGAGCAAAAAAAAAAAGTAAAATTGTAGACTCTCAACCTGGTTATGTTTATACAACTGCTATATTTTAATTGGTTAATAAATAGTATTATTTTAATTGGTTAATAAATAGTATTATTTTAATTGGTTAATAAATAGTATTATTTTAAGTGGTTAATAAAGAGTATTATTTTAAGTGGTTAATAGGTAGTATTAGTTTAAGTGGTTAATAAATAGTATTATTTTAAGTGGTTAATAGGTAGTATTAGTTTAAGTGGTTAATAAATAGTATTATTTTAAGTGGTTAATAGGTAGTATTAGTTTAAGTGGTTAATAAATAGTATTATTTTAATTGGTTAATAAATAGTATTATTTTAAGTGGTTAATAAATAGTATTATTTTAAGTGGTTAATAGATAGTATTATTTTAAGTGGTTAATAGATAGTATTATTTTAAGTGGTTAATAAATAGTATTATTTTAAGTGGTTAATAGATAGTATTATTTTAAGTGGTTAATAGATAGTATTATTTTAAGTGGTTAATAAATAGTATTATTTTAAGTGGTTAATAAACAGTATTATTTTAAGTGGTTAATAGATAGTATTATTTTAAGTGGTTAATAGATAGTATTATTTTAAGTGGTTAATAAATTCATAATAAAATTCACCAATTATTTATCATAATAAAATTCACCAATTATGATAGTATTATTTTAAGTGGTTAATAGATAGTATTATTTTAAGTGGTTAATAAATAGTATTATTTTAAGTGGTTAATAGATAGTATTATTTTAAGTGGTTAATAGATAGTATTATTTTAAGTGGTTAATAAATAGTATTATTTTAAGTGGTTAATAGATAGTATTATTTTAATTGGTTAATAAATAGTATTATTTTAAGTGGTTAATAGATAGTATTATTTTAATTGGTTAATAAATAGTATTATTTTAAGTGGTTAATAAATAGTATTATTTTAAGTGGTTAATAAAGAGTATTATTTTAAGTGGTTAATAAAGAGTATTATTTTAAGTGGTTAATAGGTAGTATTAGTTTAAGTGGTTAATAAATAGTATTATTTTAAGTGGTTAATAGGTAGTATTAGTTTAAGTGGTTAATAAATAGTATTATTTTAAGTGGTTAATAGGTAGTATTAGTTTAAGTGGTTAATAAATAGTATTATTTTAATTGGTTAATAAATAGTATTATTTTAAGTGGTTAATAAATAGTATTATTTTAAGTGGTTAATAGATAGTATTATTTTAAGTGGTTAATAGATAGTATTATTTTAAGTGGTTAATAAATAGTATTATTTTAAGTGGTTAATAAATAGTATTATTTTAAGTGGTTAATAGATAGTATTATTTTAAGTGGTTAATAGATAGTATTATTTTAAGTGGTTAATAAATAGTATTATTTTAAGTGGTTAATAAATAGTATTATTTTAAGTGGTTAATAGATAGTATTATTTTAAGTGGTTAATAGATAGTATTATTTTAAGTGGTTAATAAATAGTATTATTTTAAGTGGTTAATAGATAGTATTATTTTAAGTGGTTAATAGATAGTATTATCTTAAGTGGTTAATAAATAGTATTATTTTTTTGTAATCTATTTTAAAAGAAACTATTTTGTTTTTGTTTCTGCCCGCACTTTTTTATTAATTATTTAACAAGATTAATATATATTCACATTTCCATACAAAGAAAGTGGCAGTCATAAAACAAGGTAATTAGTATACTTAGGATATATATTAAGAAGGTAATTAGTATACTTCCTCTTAAACTTAATATATATTCTAAGTTTTGCCAGATACAAAAAGAGAAAAAAATTGTCTTTCTTCATCGAAAAATACCCAATTACTTTTATAAATTGTTTTGATGATTCTGACAACGGGCCAGAATATATATTAAATTAAGATATAGGGTACACTTTTCATTATTACAAGCTGTCTGTCCTCTGTCACAACTTTTTATCGGATGCCTGGCCTTCCTTCCTAACCGAACTTCTTTCTGTCTATTCACCCCTTTGACAGCTTCGCTCCTCCGCAGACATGCATATTCTGTCTGTTCCCAAGACACGCACTAAAACATATTATTTTTTATGGTGAAGATCTATCTCTTTCTGCACCACCAAACAATGAAATTCTCTCCCACTACACATCCGCAATATACTGACCATACAGGCCTTCAAAACTGCATTCAAAGTCTAAACTCTACTATTCTGACTGATTCCCCCTCTGACCGAGAAATGATACTGCTTGTTGCTGTCCATGGCTTGACATGTAAAAGTTCTGGGATGGGTGAGGTGAATATGCATTTTTTGTTTGTTACATAGCTGTCATGATTATGTTTCATAATATTTTTATGTACAGCGCGGTGAGCCCAGTCCTAGGCTGGGGTACCGTGCTATATAAGATCACTAATAATATATCTAAAAGTAATCACAAATAATAAATCTCTAGTTATCCATGTATGGCTCTGTAGGTCTCAGTGGCATTTAACTCACATAGTTCCAAGTGTGCAATGATTGCCTTCATTAAATATTTTTGATAATGAAAATGTTTGAAAACACGAAGCAGGTTAATATATTTCCTAATTTCAACCTATAATCTATGTATCACAATCATAACACTGAGGAAGAGTCTGCTTTTGATCTCAGGGTCATGTTGCATGCTCTGAAATGCTGTTCCTGATAAGGTATCAAATGAAGTCTAGTTCACGTAATCAATCTAACAACGCAAATGTTCTTCAATTTAAGACTACTTTTGCTACCAGTGAATTGATTCCACTTCCACCCATCTGCATGCGAGTCAGCATTTACCATACTCCCTTGTTAATGGAACGAATAGCCACCAGTAAGTCAGCAATTAGTTACAAATTAACATTCAATTCAATAACGGTAAGCTATTCATTCAATAACAAAGATTATAATTATAATACTACTGACAATTAGTTGTAAAATGTAAACCAAAAACTTGAACTGCTACCCAAGTAAATACAACAAGACATAACTGGTTGTACTAAATAAAGTTTTAATAAAAAATTCAAGCTTTGAACACAATTTTTTTAATAAAAAATAATTAGCACATTTTTATTTTTTGCTTCAAATTATTGTTTACTTTTGAGATAAATGACCTTGTTCATTGTGACTATTAAAATAAAGCACTTGAAACAGACTTCTGTTGTTCAGTTGTTAGCTCTAAAATGAACGTATCAGTTAGTGTATCTATATATATAGTTTTAAAACAACTAATTTCATCGCTGCTGAAGGTATTATAAGAATTAAAGCTAACAGTGAACAGGTATACAAACATGTCCAGAAATAGGTTCCTATAGCATTCAAGTTCAACTTCTGTAAAGTGCAGCGCAATAAGATGGCAATTATTATTTCATATGAGACCTTCAGTCACCATCTAAACAATGACATGATGTAGGTGTCATGATATAGAGAAGATCACCTCTGTGGCTTACAATTTAAATGGATTCAGTCAATGATTTAAATTTGAAAACTACTGGATTTTTTTTTTTTTTTTTTGATCAATAGTTTAATTTGGCATACAGCTCTAATATTAAAAAATGTCAGAATGCTTCACCCCCTTTAGAAAATTTTTTAATCCAGTTATCACATGTAGATTGCAATATGTATCTCCCATAGTGCACTACTTTAGGTATGTACAAAACAATATTTAAAATACTGTACATATGCAGTCCAAACTAGGGTTAGATTTACTGTTGCTTCTCAACAATGGTCACACATTCCCCTCAAACCTCACACATGCTTCCACACTCATACATCTTTAGTTTTGTCAGGAATAGGGTTCATCTGAAGACCTTTTGCTTTTTTCAGCTTGTGTCTTTTGTTGATTTAACATCTCCATTTCTAGTCTTTCTTTAGCTCTCAAAACCTGGAGAAAAAAGAAGAAAAAAACACATGAACTCATTAAAAAGAATAAACACATGACATACTGAAACAAATTTAATTAAAATCAATTATTTGAATATAACAACATCCTTCCTGGTCTGGTCTACTTTTTCTGTTCAGAATTCAATCTGCCCTAAAAAGGGGTATAACTCCAATTTAAAAAAATAATGTACATTTTGAACAAAAACTTTAATTTCTATCTATTACATATATAAAAGGTATAAAATTGTATATTAAGATACTGTAAATGTAACCATGATGGTCAATATTGGCATCACATGCTAAAGTAACACAAAAGTAACTGAGCTATTTTGAGAATCTGATTGGGATTCATCAATATCAAAAGATTGCATATCAGACAGTTCAATAATTTTATTATAGACACTTGATATTAAATCCCTGAAGACTGCTAAACTTCGAACTCATGTAAATAAGAATGAAACAAGAATCAAACACACTTGGATTTCTCAATAATGAATGCAGTAAACTTTAGCAGTCTTGTGTGTGGTAGTTAAGTTCCAGGTTAAATTGGCTAAGCGTATTACAAAACCAGGTGCCATGAGGCTCCTTATGCACGAGTTGGATAAAAGAAAATTTTTTCATATGAACGTCTTCAATTAATTTGATAATAAATGTATCTACACATGAAAATTTATTATTTAACAAAAAAAATACTATGAATAGCAAGTCTATTTTGCTTCCTTTTTCTTATAGGGGAAGAAGAATTATATGCAAGTAAAAAAAGCTAACATTAACAATGCAAAGTTATCAACTGACACAATTCAATAATTAAATGTTAATTGCATTTTATATTTTGTGTAAAGCACTTGATGTGTAATTTAGTTTATACAAACCTTTGATTGTAAATATAATGAACCTCCTTTGGATTTGTCATTGACTTCAAACAGATGATTATAATTTTTTATTATACTTTCCTTATCACTGACATCTGATATGTTCAATATTTGTTTGGCTTCCTGGAATGGGAAAACAAATTTGGTTCAATTTATTTTTTACAGGTAACAACATTTACTGGTTAAAGCAAAACATTTCATTGTGAAAAATTAATATTTATCAAAGTATAAACTTAGTACAAGCCATAATTCTAAAATTATTAATGAGCTCCACCAGCTTTGGGGAGTTCTGTTTAAGTTTAAGATAATCATTTATGAAGAGGCTATGACAAAGACTCAAATGGCGATTGCCTCAATATTACACAATTGTATTTACTCATTTGTGTTTAACAAATATATTAGTAATTAGTATTACCGGAAAATTGTGTATGCCTGGCTAAGAGCAACAATACTAATTTTGAAACAAGATCATTTCCTTAATTAGTTTGTTTACAAGCAATAAACTTATTCTTAAAATGTGTAACTAACAAAAACTGCATTAGACAGCAAAATGTTGCTCAATTCTCTTTTTAAAAAATGAAATAAACGAAATTAATATTCAGAAACATACAGAGGATAAACAGATATAATTACATTCAAAATATGTACAGTATGCAAATTATATCACTTGACATGTGCAGATCATAGCCAAATATTATTTAAATATATTTGTATAATCAATTTATACAAACATAATAAAAACTGCCAGACATACATGGTATGTGGGTCATATAGGACAATTCATTAATAAAGTGATTTAGTGTAAAAAATTAATTATATTGAACTAGAGAGGCTGTCTGAAACTTTTTTCTTCTTTAAATTAAAAATTGTACAGTTTTCAGCTCCAATAAAAATACAAACTTGTAATGTCATCCCTGAAACTGTGTCAGCTGCTGCTTTCCTGGTACCATGTCGACCACCACCAGCATTTTTTGCTGCTTGTTGGCTTGCAGCATATTCTTGTTTTACAGCTCTCGCAAATGCCCTTCCAACCACCTGTGTACCGGCTATAATTATTTGTGCCAGGTATTTAGCCTGATTTAAAAAATGATTTTTATTAGTTTATTTTTTTAATAAACAAGCATGTGAGTAAAATATAATTTATATGACCTTATTTGACAGATCACTTTCACTGAATACTTATCATTTGGTAAACCGTCCCAGTTTATGGTCATTTATTATATTGCATGTGATCAGAATTTTGTGTCCTTTTTATCGTTTAAAAATGTATTATTAATATCAACAGTAAGGAAGGGCTCTGTGGAAACAGTGACATGAAGTACTATCATGGACCTGGTAGAAAGTATCATGTTGAAAAAATACCCAGAAAAATCTGTAGCTTACAAGAATTCAGATTCAGCAACTTAAAAAAAAAAAAAATCAAATTGTATTCACTGACCGGGGACAACCAATAATAATGGGAAAGAATCTCCAAGAAGTGGAAAAATTCACATATTCGACCTCCTGGTCAGAAACAATAAAATAGATAATGAAATCAATAAATTTTCAAAGAAAATGTATCTGGATGGCTCCGGTAGAGTGTCTGGGAGCGAAGGGGTCTTAGTATCACTAAGCTGAACCTTTATAATGTATAGGGAAACCATAATAACAACTCTCCCATATGCCAGTGATAGCTGGACAGTGTACAGCAGACATGCTAGACAACTAAGCCATCTCTACCTACACTGTCTACTCAAACTTCTTGGCAAACGGTGACAGGACAAAGTCCCTGATATCACAACAGGCTGACTTTATCACATGTTCCCTCAAAAAGGACAAGACAGATGGGCAGGGCATGTTGCGAGAATGCCAGACAGCAGACCTCCTAAACAACTAATGATCAGTGAACTTGCCAGATCGAAACGCTCAGCTGGTGGGTAGGAAAAATTATTTAAGCATTGTCTAAAAGCTTCACTCAAATCCATGGCTATCAACCTAAATTTGTGGGAAACACTTGATATGGATCGTACATCCTGTTGAGGCAGACTCACTGTTGGAGCACAATCCTTGGAGAGCAAATGTAATGCTCACGCCCAAGAAAGCGCACAGCCAAGGAAAAGCAGAACTGACTCAATCCAACTAGAACCCAAAATATTTGTGACTACAAGCGGGAAAGATTTAAAGGAACAAATCATACTGACAAGCCTCTGCGTACTCACAGTGAAATATAGCCTTTACTTTGTCATCTTCTCATGTGAAGGACAAACAACAAGAAGTCTTGCATGGAAAGGTGGGGGGGTGTGTGTTACGACTTACGATTTTGTGACCAGGTTTGATAGGGTTTCTAAATTTTGTGACAAATGACATATCCAGTACTTATTATGAAAATGGGGGGAAAGGGAATAAAATCAAGGCTAAAATTATTAAATAGCCTGACATTATTTATTATGGATGGCCCCTAAATACTGGTAATAAAAATAATGCAGTTATTTAGGACTGCACCAGCATTAATTTGATTAACATGCACTCAAAATATTCTATCACATATATTATTAGACATAAAGTAAAATTAAACTCACAGCAGGAACAGACATAACTTTAATAACTCCAAACAATAGTTGACAATAGTAGTCTTGGTTGACTAGGTTGTTACAATCTCTTAGTAGTCTTGTTCTTAGAATTTATTACGGCCATGGGCTATACTTTAGCATTACTAGTCATACTGCATATATTAGAGATATTTATCATTTAAATCATTATAACCGAAGTGGCTATTTGGACTCGGCATCACAAGTGAGAGATTTTATTTTTTTTAAATATTTAAAATACTATTGTTGGGTTTGTAAGACAAAATTAGGTATCAAATGAAAGATAATTGAATGGACTATTGACTATACGTTTATAAACTTCTTTCTTCAGTTTAACTAAAATAAACTATCACAAATGACATTGGAATAGCATTTAGTCTGATGGGACCATGGCCACTATTCGGACCCGGATCCCTTTAGGGATCGATTTAGGGTTCGGGTTAGGCATAGGGATCGATTTAGGGTTCGGGTTAGGCATAGGGATAGATCTTCGTGGCACCTTGAATGATCATTTGCCATTTACCATATTTTTTACGAAGTGTCTACAGGTCCGGCGCGCCGGACAAATAGTGTGCGAGATATACATCCGGCGGCATGTCACGTGACCGCCGGTCGGCTAGTAGTTGTTATTATTCTGAACAAAGTGCAACTAGGCAGATATTGTGTGGTCTTGTGGTAGAGTGGTCGCTTGACGTTATTATGATTTGAGGATCAATACTGGTATAGGATCGTTTTTTTTTCCCATTTTAATTAAAAATATTTTATACTATATTTATATTATCATGTTCATCAGCAATAGTAGTTTCACGAGAAGTTTTTAAATAGCTTGTAGCAATTGAAACAATTTAAAATGAACTCTTTTACTTTTATTGGTTGCCTACTCCATACTGGCCCCTGCCCTAATTCTAATTTATTTTAAAGATTACTGGTACACAAACTCAAATAACAAACTAAACAAAAATGTTTACAACCCACTTTCACTTGAGTTTTTTTCTATTATTGGCGTTCAACATACTCAGTACATTACTTGGTAGAGAAATAGATTTTAAAATTAACAAAAGTTTTGAATCATTCGCAGTCCGTGACAAGGCTGGCCGACAAGATATCTCACGCCACTTTGTTACGGCGGTCATGTGACTTGGTCGCAGGACTAATAGTGCGGGAGATATACGTCCGGACGTGTAGACATGGCCTATTTTTTAATACGAAGTGTCTACACGTCCGGCGCGCTGGACAATAGTGTGCGTGATATACGTCCGGCGGGCATGTCACGTGACCGCTGGATGACTAGTAGTCGTTATTATTCCGAACGAAGTGGCTACTGGAAGATCTTGTGTGGTCTTGTGGTAGAGCGGTCGCTTGACGATATCATATTAGTGCCCAGTATGAGATTTTTTTTTCCCCCATTTTAATTTAAAATATTTTATATTATATTTATATTATCATGTTCATCAGCAACAGTAGTTTCATGAGAAGTTTTTAACTACTTTGTAGCAATTTAAACAATTTAAAATGAAATCCTTTACTTTTATTGGATGCCTACTCCATACTGGCACCTAATTTATTTTATGGATTACTCATTTACTGGTATACAAACTCAAATAACAAACAAAACAAAAATGTCTACAAGCCACTTTCCCTTAAGTTTTTTTCTATTATTTGCATTCAAGATACTAAGTACATTACTTGGTAGAGAAATAGATTTTAAAATTAACAATAGTTTTGAATCATTCGCGGTCACGTGACAAGGCTGATGGACAAGATATCTCTCGCCACTTTGCTAAGGCGGTCATGTGAATTTGTCGCCGGACAAATAGTGTGGGAGATATACGTCCAGCGCGCCGGACGTGTAGACACTGCCTTTTTAATAAACCCAACCTCTCACTTCTGATACCAGGTCGGAATAGCCGCAGTCCATCATTATGATTGCTTAATCTAAATGATCAACATTAATGATAGTTAGTTAACAGTAGTTGTAGTATTGAGAGATATCTGTCAGAAGTAAATGATAACTAATAAATAATACAAGTCATTGATGATGACATTACATTAATTAGGCTCATTTCATTAGGCTAAGGAAAAAACAATCACTGATTCTGATGTGACTTTTCTCGCATTGTCTTATATTGTCTAAGACTAAGTTATATACTTATTTACGTTAAATTCACTTTAAAAATTACTCGGTCGGTCACTCCTCTATTCTTATACTTATTATTATTATAAACTTTCTGACTTTCCCTACACTTTTACTTTACACACTTGACTTCTTCTAAACTCCGACTCCGTTCACTGTAACTTAATAAATACTGTCAAAATCGTTTTCATTGAATGTCATTCTCGAAAAACTCCCAATTCCTCAAAAACATTATCTCAATAATATGATGATACAATTATAATTACCATTTCGTCATTCAAAACATAGGCTTCATGCAATGGTGATGACCGACCTCTCTGTAACACAGCATTTATTTAAATATGCCGGAATTGCTTTAAAAAAACAAGCCAAACTCAAAGAATTTTTTATTTTACTCTAAACGAAAATTCAGGCATTTAAAATATGAAATAAAAATTATTTTATAATTTGGCTTTAAAATTACATATATTTTGACAAAGTCTTTTAAATTGTTGATATTTAAATAAGTATGGGCCACATAAACATACAACATCAAATTGGTAGGTTATGTAAAAATAAACCAACAGTGTAGAGTAATTTTAACAGTCGAAAATAAAATGAAGGGTTGAACAGCTGAAGTTGAACGGTCAAAGTTTTCTAGATGAGGCTAAAGGTTAAAAGCTAAAGGTACATACATGTGACTGTGTTTAGTCATGTGACAATTTGTTGAATTATTCCAACTTTTATCTTACTTAGGATTTTACACCTTTACACTTCAGACGTAACCGAATGATTATACAAAAATATGTTTTCTTATTTTTCAAGGTGTAGTTGTAGGCGTAGGAAGTAAAAGCAAAGAAAGAGGGAAACAAGGTATTGGTAATATTGGTATGCTAACGGTAAAATCTTAACACTAATTTTGATTTATTAATTTAATTAGCCCCCAAAGGGGTTGAGTCAGTTCAGTAGGAACTCTATTAATTATTAATACTATTAATATTAATTTTGGTTTAAATTTAAAGTGAGGATGAGTTGCAGTTGCTCAATTCTGTTCTCTGTAGCCTCACAATCACTCTCTCGTCCTTGCCTATTTGATCCAATGAGCATGGCATGATTCAGTCAAGACAACTGGAAATAGACCTGGATGCCGTAAACTTAATACCGCCTACGGGTCTCCGTTACCCGGGACTCCATCTCTGGGTTTGGTTTCGGAGTTTGCGGCAGTTTGAATAGATGAGTTTGCCTTCTCTTAGAGTTGTGGTGAAATGACTTTTATGTTATGGGGTGTTGAAACAACTCTCTGATGTTTGTCACACCTGTTTGTGTCTAGGGGTATTTGATTATGTCGTTTTCACACACCAATGGTCATAATAACATACTAATTTTCACTTTGACTACCAGTACCAAAATGACCAAATACTTTTTAACTCCATTAAATGAAATTATTAATTTATTTACATGTATTTGGCATAATGGTGAAGTATATGCAAAACAACTTTGCAAAGGTAATTAAATAAGTTCTAGTTTCTTATGAAAAATGGCCTCCCGTATAGCCTATGTCTATGTATCATCCTAAAGGTTGCTTTGCTTTGTATTTCAGTTGTATAAACTCAGTCCTTTCACATTTAACTTATCAGTCACTCGTGCTGATCATATGGCTTGAACATCCGACTTGATCATCTCACTTGATCATCTCACTTGATCATCTCACTTGATCATCTTATTTGAACATCTGACTTAATCATCTGACTTGAACATTTGACTTGATCAGTCACTAGTAGTATGTGGAGGTGGCTCCTCCGATTCCTCACTCCGTGGCTTTTCAGGGCGATCATGTATGTGGGCTGACAGAGCTGCAAACTATGGGCAGCTCTGATGATCTGGTTAGATCTTGCACAATAGTGAGATCACTCTAACGTAGAGGTGGGTTCTCGGTCCTGTCCTTCGTGGCTTCTTGGAGCGTTCACGCAAGGGGGCGAAACAGCAATGCTTGAATTACTTGAAGGGTGAAAGTGAATTCTTTAATTCTTTACCTAGTGGCTTTTCAGGGCTCATCGCTTTTCAGGGCTTTCACGCAGGTAGATTTTACGGCAGTACAATACAGAGATCCATTCACTGTGGAAATGGACTCTTCATCCTATGTACCTCGTGGCTTTTTAGGGCGTTCACGCAGGTGGATGATACCAGTCACAACAGTACCTTCTGGGATACCTCTTCCCCAGTACCCTGTGGTGGGTGTATGTAAGACTTCTCTTTGGGAGTAAAGTCCATCAGCACGCGGCCCTTTGGTTGCAGGTGGTGAATTGGTCTTCCGGAGGTAGCTCCTGGGTGGGGTTCGCAGACTCAGGCCTCAGCACACCGATTCCTCAATTCAGCTGTGTATGTGTGGTTGACTGTACTGCAGTAGTGCGGCGATCTAACAACCTGGTAGGTCTAGAAAAAAAGCCGGCTTAAGGTGTTCTAAGTTGACTGCTGTCTTGAGAGTTGATCACGAAAAGACAGATTTTAGTTATGCAATGGCTTTTATACTGATCTTATTCTAATTGCTTATTGGACGATCACTACCACGTAATATACGATTCCAATGATCTTAATAATTTGATGTGTGACGTAAAAACGATAGCTCACCCAAAACGAGACATTTTCTAGAATAGGGCGTTCTTGACCCTTTTCTTGGTTCTAAAACTCAACAGTTCATTAACTTTTCACGTGAGGTAGATAGTGATCAGGGGAAATAACTTGTCCTGCCCTTAAGGGGGGGGGGGAGGAGCTTTTAAGTAGGACGGCGTGAGTAAATGGAAATTTTATGTTGGCTCCATTTCGTCACAAGAGTAAGTCTTAGTCTCTTAGACTTAGATGAGATACCATCCAAGTTTAATGAGTCCCATCCACCCGGAATTGGAATCCTGGTGTTTTTTTTGTTTTATTTTTTTGTTGTTGCTTGTCAATGCTTTTACTTTTGCTGGCTATTGAGTTTTAGCTCCAGTCCACAAGCTTGGCTCCCAAGTTGGGATTGACTCAGTTAAAACCGCTGGGCCCACCCAGCACCCACCAAGTGTTAGCATTAGTGATTAGTCTAGCCCTACCCTAAGTTGTGCCACCAGGGACAGGCCAAGATATCTTTGGCCCTTGCTCCATGAAAAAACTCTGAAGTTGGCCAAAAAATGCTGTCCCTCCATATAAAGAAAAAAAGTTTGACTGCCCCATCCAATCCCCATTTCTCACCCATCCAAACCCCATTTCTCACCCATCCAAACCCCATTTCTCACCCATCCAAACCCCATTTCTCACCCATCCAAACCCCATTTCTCACCCATCCAAACCCCATTTCTCACCCATCCAAACCCCATTTCTCACCCATCCATTGTTAACCAATGTACCATTATGTTATATAGGCCTATTTTTACATGTATATTAGGCGCGCCTATATCTCCCGCACTATTTGTCCGGCGACCAAGTCACATGACCGCCGGAAGAATACTTTATCGAGGTATTCATCCTGCAAACAAGTCACATGACCGCCGTAAGAAAGTGATAGTGAGGGTGATAAATAATTAAGTATAAGGTGGGGAGGCCGATAGTTCACGAAGAAATAGACCCTACATCATATTTTAGGGCCGATATAGTGGTAGCCTAGGCTACTTCTCATGCAATACTAAATAATAATCATGAAATACAACTTTATTGACTTAGGTCTATTGAAGTCTACCGGTCTTATTTTATTTGGTTTATGTTTTAAATTTAGGCTTCAATGTAGTGATAATGTAGAGCCTTAAAAGATGCTTAACCATGATAATGGACTTTTTTCTTTGAAGAGTCGGAATCAAAAAGACTAGTAATAGTGGGCCTAGTACTAGTTAGTATATAGGCAGACTAGTTTAATATTTAAAGTCAAACACTTTATGTATCTCAGAATCTCAGAGCATTTGAATATATTAACATGTTCAGCATTTATTTATTATCAAGGGATCGGCTGACTAATATATGTACACAATATTGGAATATCAAATGCAATGCAACTATTTTGCCGGCGAACACTTGTCACATTACCTGTCGGAATAATAACGCCTACTAGTCGTCCTACGGTCACATGGTATGCCCGCTGGATGTATATCTTCGCACTATTTGTCGCGGCGGACATGTAGACACTTCGTATATATTTATATCTATATTATTTGACAAGATTATATTATAGCTTACACTATGCCATATACTATTTAGTTGGTCCTATAGTTTTAGAGATGTGACACATAATCTTAGACATTTTAAATTCAAATTTTTGTCAATGTTTTTTTTTTCAAGGTTTGGGGGGGGGGGGGCTAATTTGGTAGCTTGCCCCAGCATTTAGTCTAGGTAGGCCCCTGGGTGACTATGTTACTAGGCATTGTTAATTTTTATGCCACAGCTATATTTATTTATTTTTTTAGGCATTTTT